AGACTGTACTTACTGCCATCTGTAAAATCCACTGTCTATGGTGGCAACGATGGAACCTTCACCACAGCCTTACCTGTGCAGTGGGAAACCAACGTTGGAATTATCAGGAATCTCGCCATGAAGGGGACAGGAGAAGGGGGCATTGGTGGAGCAAGGCCCCCATCATTCACAGAGGATCCACATAAGGAGAACACAAAGGTAAACGTTTTACAGCTTTGACGATTACCATGATGGTATGAGGTGATGATGATGAGCCAAGCAGAGATGGACCATAGGACCAGACAGTGATGCTTGACGGGAAGAAGTAATCTGACGGGACGATGCCTTGATGAGAAGGACCAGGAATCCCGCGTGATTATGTTAAATGGAACTGTGCTAAATGGAATTGTGTTAAATGGAACTGTGCTAAGTGATATTCTATTCTAGGAAAGAATGAAGGACGGTAAATTAAAGCATTGATATGTGTAAATTATAGCCAAAGTTCTAATTTCAAATGTTATGTTATATTATTGTAATGTATTGATGATTGTACATTGTAAGGTAGACACTTTGACCTTAATGTTTAGATTTGACATTTACTTGAGATAAGTCATTTGTGAGGACACAAATATTTTGAGAGGAGGGTAGTGTAACGGTCCAGAGATTTGACAGATAAGTTTTATACAGAGTTATTGAACCTGATTATTGTTGACATTTGTAGGAGAGTTGAGATGAATTTTTATCTATGTGTTATAGTTACTTGATATTGTAGGAATATGTACTGATTTATGCTTTGCATGTAATTGATAGGTGATATTGACAAGTTTAAGTAATTTACATGAGTTGAAATAGTTTGTGCACGTTTTGAGTTACGTAGAAATCAGCTGATCATAGCTATAGTAAAGTTGTGGTGTTATTTTAGCTTACTTCATGTTTCAGGGACTTTAATTTGTCTTCTGTAGTAGATGAACCATAGATTTATAGATGAAATCATGTTTTCTTGAAGTTTAACTTGTTTTCAGTTAATTATTGGCAGTTTAATGTCCTATTGTAAACTGGTAGATTTGTTTACGAACTTGGCGGTCGTAAATTGTGGAGGTCGAGCCCGATTGTAAAAGTTACGATAGTTTTAGGATTTTTGGAGTTAATTGTGTTATTTGTTGATTTAAATGGAGATTAATTTACTTATTCTAATTGAAGAATGTATTTAGAGATTACTTTCATTCAGAAAAGTTGTCTTGTATGTAGTTATTAGATTTTTCTATAGACTTTGCTGTTTACGGGAAATGTCACGAGAGATTCTCCAACGTTTTCCAACATGTCCAACAGTTTCCAACTTTTACGTCATGTTATTGTATAAAAGAAAGAGATTCAAGGAATTTTTGCTCTTCTGCTAGGTTGATTCATTTAGAGAAGTCGTGTTTTAGGGTAAGGAGTTAGTATGGGTGACTTTTTAGTTTTATTTTAAGGAGAGCCAGGGTTATTTTAAGGATTTTTAGGAACTTTTGGAATATTTGTGAAATTTTATAGGAAGTTTTGGTCAGGTTTTAGTAAATTTTAGCTGAGAATTGGACTTGGTTAAAATTTGCTGGTTGTTTGAATTTTTGGTAAATTGTTGTTAAATTTTAGAATCACTTGGAATTGTTTAGGTAATTTCTACAATTAGCTACGGAAGCTAGTGTATTTCTAAATTTTGCTACTGTTTTTAACTGAAATTCAGACTTAGGAAATTTGCAGGAATTACTGGTGTTTGAAATTTGTTAGGAATTAATTAGGTTTAAGGGATTAAGTTTTAGTTATTGGTTTTTACTTTCATCCAGGAGGTCTGGAAGGAAGTTCTGAGAATTACGCGTTTTGTGAGTTGTATTGAGGTTGATTTTAGGTAAGTCAGGACTAATAGGTGACACAGACAGACTGAGACAGAGCTTAGAATTTGTTTGTTGATTGTTCATTTAAGAGATAATTCTTGTAATAAATTGTAAAACTGTATTTTGTCTCATTTCAAGTACAGAGATTTATAAGGTTTTATCAAAGTGTGATTTTCCAACAAGATGGAAATTGTGGGATATAAAAGAGTAAGAACAGAGTAATGAAATAAATGAGTATTAGAGAATTTATAGTGACTTCCTTAGGTCTAGGTTGTAACAAGCTTGACAAATAGAGAAGTAAAACAGAGAGATTTCGTGTATTAATAAATTTAGTGTAACTTAGAGAGCGCGGGTTAATAAAAGGAGGTTTAGGTCTTGGGCAGTGGTGTTTTATCTGAGTTCATTGATTAAAGGGAGATAATTTAGTGTGTTGTGGAAAACGATTAAAGAGTATTGTTGAGTTTTGAACCACTGCGCCATACTAGCCCTCCTGAGCTCGGGTTGAGCTGTGTAACGCAAGCCTTGCCACGAAAGATAAGACAGCCCCTATAGATAGAGTGAGGGAGTGCGGCCCCAGCAGTAGTAGTAGGAGAGGTGCCGTCCGTCCGCCCCCACCCCGTTACAATATGTTCATGCTGTAATGCCTCTGTTATATGGAAAAATGTTATTGTGTTTGTGAATGAAAAGAAATCTTAACTGATTCGTATTTTTTTTAAATTGCCCACTCATAGTCTCTTTCTGGATTTGTATTAATCTGTGTAGCACTATAATAAGGTGCTGTGTGACCCCCCCCCCCCCTTACATAAAAAAACGAAACAAATTACTGATAAAATGCTGATACATGTACATATTCGAATATGCCTATTTAAAAAAAAAGCTATTAAGTTAATTTTCGATAGTGGATGTTCTGCAGACTGATCATCATTATCTAAAAAATGTGCGGAACAAATTTTTTGTTATAAAGTTTTTACGAATTAATATAGCCTGCTGCAGCCATATTTTCTTTGTATCTCTAGGAATTTTTTGGAGATTGATGGCATGTCCATCTGCAGTTTTACCTCTGAAATTGCTGCATATACAGCAGTAGTTCGTCTTCCGCGACCGATACCAAGAAACTGCGTTTTTGCTCAATTGTTTGTCATAACATAGAACTTTTACTTGTCACATTTGGTGACAATTAAAGGCCTATTTCATTTGAATTAACAGTGTTTTTAGAATTTTTTATTTGTAAAATAATTGATTCACTATATATCAAAACTTTGAATAGAATTCTAAATGAATAATTTAATCTCATGCCCTCATGTAACGAAGAAAGACTAATTAAAATAGCATTGACCTGAATTCGTGTTACATATGTAGTATAAAGTCTGAGCTGCATTTAATCAAAGTTTTAGTGTAAGATCTAAGCATATGTACATGTATATTCCCGAGTAAAATACACATTTTGTTTTAGATCAGAGAATTGAGAGCAAAAACACGAAATTGATACAATAATTTCCCAGCGTATTTCTCGTTAATTAACGGAAAACATTCTTTTTTCATGTGTTATTTATTTTTTTTTAAAATCCTTTCAGTGTAAGTACATGTATTTATTTGTATAAGTTATTCTTTTTTGCAAAGTGTGTAAAAAAACAATATCAGAGAGAGAGAGAGAGAGAGAGAGAGAGAGAGAGAGAGAGAGAGAGAGAGAGAGAGAGAGAGAGAGAGAGAGAATCATGTAACTCCGTGTAACTGACATACATGTACATCTGTGAAAAAATATATGTACCGTAATTTTATTGAATTCACAATTAACTGTTCAACCCATTAACATATTCGTTCTCTGTACCTGTACGCAGGGGGGGGGGGTCAAGGGGCTTAGCCCCACCCCCACTTTTTTCCCAATATTACTTTTTCTATTGAAAATGTTCATTGATAGACGGGTTGCCAACCCCCCCCCCCAACACACACACACACAGTTAATACTACGGTAAAGTTATATAAGGGAAATGTAGTTTTGTATGCCAAGGAACTGGTACTGAAATAAGTAGCTTTTTCAACTTCGGGCAAGGTTTTTCTTTGCTTGTCAACTTTTCCAGGTAAGAAAAAAATATTTCTTTGGCAACCCCCCCCAGTCCCCACTTTTAAAGACGATGCTACGTGCCTGGCTAATTCGTATAGCTTTCTAGAAAGGTGGGGGGGGGGCTAACAGACCCTTTATAAAATAATTTATTATCTAAAAAAAAAATGGAAACCGTTTCCTTCTTTTAAAATTTTTAAATACAACGTGTAAGTTGATCACTATTTTGTTGGATTATCGTATTGCGTAGTCCGCGGAAGTTAGGCTAGTGTAGAAGAGTTCCGATTTTGAGGGGAGATAACTCTTTTGAAAATGGGGAATAATAAAATATAAATGGTGCCTGGTCTAGAGGGTACATGTAACAGTTGACATTGACACAAATCAGAAAACAATGGTTAACCTCCGCTTACTCGTCGGTTGACAATGGATTTACCTTTATGAGTCAATTTAAACTTTAACCCTTCAAAAAAAAGGATCATTAATATAATGGTTCCAAATCAAGGTGTAAAGCTATAGTTTTTGAAGCGAGGTAAATTATTGACGAGCAAGTTGATGAAATATTAATATCAACAGTATCGTCTAAATTCATCTTTTCATAAGTTAGAAGGATTGATACAATGATCTTGTTAGCAATTTAAATCTCATCGTCATGAATTTACTCTTTCATTTTAACTCTAAATGGAAGTTTGTATCATTTCCACTCTGAATTGTCGAGGGACTTTTCCATTATTTACCGATCAATATAGGATGGAGTACAAATCGTATGTGACTGGTACATGTAAGTAGGGAATATCTACTCCTCTATGTCACCTGATCACACATCTGATGCTTTAAAATTCTAGGTATGCTCTGCTCATGAATTGTTATGTTTAATTCGGCTTTTGAGATTGAATACAGTTCGTTATCTACATATATTTACGTTTAGGATATATCCCTATGTGTACGAAAGATTCCTAAATATACGAGTGTAAGTAATGATCGCGTAATTTAGCGCAAAGCACTACACATGCAATTAAATTAATTGTCTTTATTTTTATGGTGCTGAAATCTTTGTAAAATCTCTTGACCAACTATCGATTCGGGAATTATTTTTTTCGCGATTTGCCGTTGAAAAAACCCTTTGTGATAATAAGAACGTGCGAAAAATAAGGAATATGCAGTATCAAAGATCGTTATCTTATTAGGGTTTAGAGCATAATTTTTCTATACAGTAGATCGCTAAAATATCTCAAAACCTTGTTCTCCAGGTTGGCATTGACTTTATTAGCGAGACAGAAAGTGAATTGTGGATATTATTATTTTAAGGTATGCCAATATACGCGATTGGTACTTCGTAAGAAAACTGTCTCGAATGATGATGCATAAATAAAGTTCTCGCGATTATAAGCATTTTACAGTTCATAATTCTGAATGATTAATGCATTCACTTTTGGAGGACTTGATACATCTTCAAGAGAATATTGACAGATACAAAGAAGGCATTTGTTACGAGCTTATCATATTTGTTCATTCTACATAGTATTCTGAAAGGAAAGATCGTGATAGGTATTATCGTCATTATTTATAACATTTAGGTCCTGATAAATATGTGTATCTTCAGTCTTTGTAGAACATAAATCACCACATTCAGCATACTGTCTTGATGCTTCCAATCCACTTTGACAGTATCTTTTAGCCAACAAAAATTAAAAATTTATAATGTGCTCCAAATCTAATTACAATAATTTGACATTTAGTAAGACATACATTTGGTTAAAATTGACTTCAACTATGATAATTATCTTACCTTCGAAGTACGAATAAACAAGTAGACATATTGATGACTAGTGATACAGCTAACACTACCGATAAAGCTATGACATGACCATAATAAGATTCACTGTCAGAAAAATTAACTGCTGCTAATTCAAGACACACTACAAAAGAAAGGCAACAAAACTTTATAAATTTGTAGGTTAAAAATTTTTTTCTTCAAACATGAGCAGAAAACAATGAAGAGCTTGTTAAAATTTTACATATTGTAAAAAAAAGTTTTGACTTTTTAGAGAGAGAGAGAGAGAGAGAGAGAGAATAATCATAGAATTAAAGTAATAAAGTAAAAATAGAAGTAATAAATTATGTACCGTACGACAATACTCACTTTTAGTATTTTTGTCACATTTAACTCCTGTAAATGGTTCTGCACAACCACTAAGACAAGCCCCATTTGTCCTGTTGCACGTGTGGTTAAAAGCACATTTACCACAAATTTGTTTGCAGTCCTCTCCATACCTTCCGTCATTGCATTCTTTAAAATATTCGAAATAATGTATGAAATGTGCACATGTGTATAAAACAGCAAAACAAGTAAAACATTTTTTTAATTCCCGTATCAATTCAAGTACATGTATTCACCAAAAAAGTGTTTATTATATCATCTACCTAATTTTTTCAAACAAATTCCTTTGCCTACTTTACCTTCTTTACATTTTATCCCCATCCATCCTGCCTCACAACCGTATGTACAAACACCGTGAACGTTGTCACATGACTTGTTTCTACAGTTAATGTGACACAAATGGGAACAATTTCGACCATACCATCCCCGGAAGCAAGCTTTAGAAGCAAGAATATAATACACAGATGAGTTTAGTATGCTTTAAAGACGATATATTTTAAATCAAAAAGTAGGCCATATGAATTTTGTTCAATTAATAATGACATACGTTGATCGCATCTTTGACCAATATAACCGGCAGTGCACCCTTGAATACAAATACCACTGAAAGGATCACATGCGTTGTTGAGGCAATTTGAACAAATGTTTAAGCAGTTGTTGCCATAAAATCCATTGTCGCATCCTACAATTAAGAAACAGGACTGAAAAAAGTGAATACCGGTAAAAGTTATAAAAACAGTATTATTGATGACCGGATTAATGAATGTAGGGTTTCTTAAAAAAAATGACATAAGTTTTTATTTAAAAAATATCAGTACCATAAATGTTTATATCTACAAAATTGGAATATGTTGAATATTTGCTTGAAAAATGTAGACAAGGACAAAAAATAAATTAATGAATTAATTATAATCTTATTTTCCTATGTAATGGAAAGGTCCCATGACGAAAAATCTCTTTTACTTACATATATAGATACAGAAAAGATGACATTATGTTCGTAAATATAAGAAGTTTCTTGCAATAAAAGACAAAAAAATCTGTGGTATATATAAATGTTATGGCTTGTTTTCTACTGGAAGCTTTTTCACTGAATCCTTTAGTAGAAAACAAATCATACGCAGCAATAATACGGTGGTATTAGCCATTAATCCATACGGTGGTATTAGCCATTAATCCATAAGACGATATTTCATGCAATATTTAATGTAGTACATTTAAAAGCTCTGTCCATAACATTATTTTACTGATGCATAAATGATCCCTAATGTGCACACAATTGGTTAACAACTGTGTGCGCATGACAAATGAGGAGATAAAGTGCTTTTTGGGTTGAAGTTTCGGAAATGTAAGGCGTTGAATAACTTTTTTTGAGCGGAGATGATAAACATGTTGCTCGGAAAACCAAAAGAAATACCTTCAGAACAATTGGCAGTACGCCAACCTGCTTTGCGTCCAGAGGTACACATACCGTCTCTGTAATCACATGTTTGGTTGATACAGTTTTCGTTACAATGTTGTGAGCAGTTTCTGCCATACCAGCCTACATTGCAACCTTAAAATATAACTGTACAAATAGTTTCCTCAGCACACATTTAATTCGGGTCAAGATGACCCTTATGTATTCTGATAATAGAGAACAGTTTTTAAGAGCCAAAATATAATATCAAAATATATATTGCAGCAACATAATTTAAACAATTCAAAATTAGAAATTGACTAACTTAAGATTATCGTATTCAAACCCACTTTTATCGCATTTTGGTTCAAGATATCCATCCATGCAGCCTTTTATACAATGTCCATCTGTGTTATTACAGTGCAGCCTCATGTTGCAAAATGAACTGCATGTTTTTGTGCAGTTTTCTCCATAAAATCCATATATGCAAGCTTAAAGAATAGTTTTTGTGCAAAATATACCAATAAATATTATGATTTATGTTTCAGAAAATATTTTACATTGAAACAGATTGAGGAGCATAAAATATTGATGTTTGAAGAATTTGATTGGCTTTGCCAAACATTCAGGGTGCATGAGCTTTCGATTCGTTAATTTCCATTTTGAACATTTTTACATTCTCTAACGATGAAGTACGTTTGGAAAACTTGAACTGTTTGCAAACCCAAATCTTGATAGTGAAAAAAGTGCAGATAACGAACAGTATTCGAGTTCACTCCCTGCAGACCGGTCACACCAACCATGTGGCTCTTGTCCTAGTCGAGTCGCCCGCGTGGCGCAATGGTTAGAGAGTCTGCTCTAGAATCGTGAAGTAAGGAGTTGATCCTTACCTCGTAGGTTCGAGTCCCACTGTGGGATGTGGAGACCGTAATTTTGGATTAGACCGTATAAACTGAGGTCCAGTGTCGTAGTAAGTAGTGGCAAGTAAACGATTCCTCCTTGCTCAATGGCCCTCAGAGTGTCGAGTATAGGAAAAAAATTGCAGCTCTCCTCCGGCAAGTGGTGGCGTCTCCATATGAGTGAAAAATTCTCGAGAGGGACGATAAACAATAAACAATCAATCAATCTGTTCTCGGAACACTTTTGACCATAGGTGCCTTTTGGACACACTATAAGAAACATGTATAGCTATACGTTGTATTTATCTTGAAATGAAAGCATATATGAAGACTCATGCAGGAAATACTCCTTCTGATACATTTTGAAAAGCCAGTCTTCGACAAATCATTTTCATTTACAAGTTTGTAATTCAATTGGTTTATCGTACTTACAATTATTGCAAAGTGTTCCAATATATCTCGGTGCACAACTTTCACATTTTCCACTTGCCTTGTCACATGGTAAACTGTTTTTACAATGGTTGCTGCATTTATAGATACAATTAGGTCCATACAGCCCATCCTGGCAGGCTTTAAAAAATAAAATAAGACAAAGGAAAAACATATACTATAAGTTTGTGAATAAAGTTATATTTACAGTTATCTTAAGTTATCCTTTTCAAATTGATAATATAATCACTAAAACCTAGAACAAAGTAGTGTTAACGTTGTTGTCTCTTATCAGAGTATCAATGAACCTTAAGAATATATTTTTAAAATGACCAGGAGGTAATTAAGGTATGTTGTGTATGTCATTAAGGCATCGTGATTTCAAGTTCTAGTAGACAAAGGAAGCACAAGCAATGTTTGAAAAATATATATAATATTGTTCAATTATAATTAGATCTAAACCAGAGTTACTTTCCTACGATGAAAATACAAATATAAAAAGACATAAAATATATGAGACAAGAGACTTACGTTGATCGCAATTGGGTAGCATCCATCCTTCTTCACAGCCATGTTCGCATTTTCCACTTACATGATTACAGGAAGCACCACTATGACAATGACCTGTACACCTTGATTTACACTCCATACCATAGTATCCAGACATACAAGCTAATTGAAAGAAAAAACAAAGCTTCTTAAGATTGTTCCTCTGAGTATTATAAGCTAGTTTTTTTATCTTACTTAAAATCAAGAGAAACAGCCAAGTAATCAAGAAGTTATCAACTTTCCAAAGAAAAAAATTGTTAATTGTTGCAAAAATTTGTCAAGGAAACACGTATGGTTTGTAAAGCTTTTCAATTTATTCGACTTGTACGTGTAAGCTAATTTAACTTTCCACTTGACCGTTTACATTTAATTATCAACTCATAAATAATTTTTCACTCATGTCTCAGTTTACTTCCCAACCCAAGTGCAGAAAATATGGAAACTTACTTTTATTACAAAACTCTCCGATCCAGCCAGCTGTACAACCAAGACATGTTCCCTGTATAATATGACATCTTCTGTCCTGGCAGTGAAGAGGACATGCAAGGTCACAGTTTTGACCGTAAAATCCATCTTTTTGACAGCCTTGTAATACAGAAAAAAGTGTTTGTATGAAAAAATATGTACAAAAGGCTTAATTAGTGTTGCTTGTTGTAATTGATAGATTAGAGTTGTAAAATATTACCATGCACATTGACTTCACATAACTCTGTTATAACAGTTGTTGTCTGGTAACCGGAAGGATATATAGTCTTATTTCTTTCATTGTAAAATGTAACATAACGTCCATGAATGGAACAGATATTGATTAAATCCAACGGAGGTAATTCTGGTCCGTCTTTGTAACACAAGTAGCTGTTCTGTATGTCTGTTGTATTCGATACATATAGAGAAAACCCCGCCAATCGTCCTCTTTGACGATCATCTAAAAATTAATTTTAAATATGTCCAAATGTTTTACATGTACATTTAAACTTTTTTCATCAGTAAATCATCATATATTTTTAAAATGAATTTTATGTCTTTTATTTCGAGTTAACTGAGAATTATCAGGTTGACACCTAATAATAGGAGAACTTAATAATCAACAACTAGACAAGTTTTCAAATTAAAATGAGTACTTAGAATATTAAATTTGACCTTTGCGGAAAAATTGTTTACTACAGGGCGTAACAAGCCTATATTTTTAAATAGAATTAAATAAAATATATTTTTGTTATAAAATGGGCCATTTGCAAAAATCACTTCTTTGATACATTACGTCAGTCTAGATCCTCCTGAAAGAAAGTACAGATTTAAAATTTGAAAACGTCTTTTAACGATATTTTCAAAACAAGACCGGCAAAATGAAATTTTGATAATAACTGCAATTAAAATATATAACCTTCCCTTCAGAATTTAGGCAAATAAATTATTACTAGTTTCATTATAATATAAAATTGTTACCTTATATTTGTTGATTTGTTACCAGGTAATCATTGAAAAGCTATTTATTTTCATCGTCAAGTATATGTAATGAATGAGGGTTTTGATTGAATAAGAGGCCAAAACTAATTCAATAAAATTAATTCATCCTTTAACCTGGAAGATGAGCAAATTGATTGCTTTATATTAACGTGACTATTATAATCCTAAGAATCGTTTAAAAATGATCGAAAAATCCAAAAACATCTTTTTTAATGCCCAGTATTCATCATATGTAATCGCTACGTACAATATTCTTGTCCAAAATCTCTAAACTGTATCCTGATACTGTAGATACTCTTAATGTCTCCGAGGTCTACTCTCCACCACACTGTTTGGTGTGAAGAGGTCATACCGAACGTGTCAGTTCTCATACATGTACTGATGTCTCCATCAACTGCGTTGTTTGCTGCATACAAGTAGCAATTTTGTTGAGGACATCCCCACGTTGAACTCTGTATAGAATGCTTTCCCTCTGATAAATTATCTATAAGATGCAGAAATATTCAATCCAATGCAGTTAAATAGATCTATAATAGAAAAAAGTGTTTGTAATTAAGAAAAGTCTTTCCGTTATTTATGTGGTTTTATGCCTTTTCCTAGCCACAATGCTCGAGTGCGCAATGTTGCCACGAGCCTCCTTTTTATAAATTTATCATTCATTATATTAAACTATTTAAAAAAGGATTTGAATCTTTTAGAACTAAATACTGGTTAACCCTATTTTTCAGACCTAATTTTCACAAAATAAAAAGGACTTACCATATCCGTGTATTGATAATATTTTTAAAAGGAACAACACGATAAGATATCCCATTTCCAAACCGTAAACAACCTTTACAACAAGGAAATATACTACTATATCAAGGACTTACATGTCCGTGCATTTGATAAGTTTATGTATGTTTAAAAGGAAATTTTTAAGTTCTTTTGTATGTTCAACCTTGTAATTGCATATCATAAATTTTTAAGCATTATACATGTTTATCATTATTTTAATAAACGTGTAAATAAAAAGAATTATATACAGTTTTACATATCTAACCATAAATCTGTACTGCTGTACTAATCGTTATCATGGATTTATAAAATTTCTGTTGATAGAGCATGTTCTTTTAAAATAAAAAGACAAATTCTTTTGGTCGTTTTTTTTTCTTGGTCGATGTTTTCTGTAAACAATTCACAGTCTTTTAAAATGAAATTGAAGAAAAGCAATTTACATTAAGGGGAGAAGACAATGTTACAGATGTAAGCTTTTTCAATGTACAGGTTTTGATTCTTGACAGAAATTGTTAATTTCTTTGTCTTTCTTCCCCTTTATTGTCTTTTTGGTCATTAACGTTATAATTAATCTAACAATTTTAATACTAAGTATATTCATAAACAAATATGTTCATGAAATATTGATATAAAAAAGTTTCTCCACTGCAATGTAAACAAAGAAAATAAGCGCACAGTATAAATGTCAAAAAATAATTGTCGTTTTATATCTTTTTTGCAATTTCATGTTTTTATCGTCAGTGTCAACAACGTCAATGCCACGTGTTCTTTATGTTAAGAACAACAAGCAATAAATAGGGAAAAGTTCTAATCATCATCACACATAAAATTGCATCAAACTTCTCTTCATCTGAGCTAGGTTAATAACTATGGAATTGAATTAAAGTTTTCAAAACTTCTATTTTTCTCCATGAAATTGATTTTAAAAAATGTTTTCACACCTGTAATTGGAATATAATTATAATACCTTCAAGAACTAAAAAAATAGCACGTCATGTAAAAAATCTTCATTTCTTAATTTTCCGTTTTTTGTTTTTGTTTTTTTTTTTTGTTGCCTTACTGTCTCTTTAAAATTAGATCACACTCTAGCTTAATAAAGGTCATACAAGCCAAATTGTCTGATTGTTTAAATTCAGAATTTTAATACAAAAATCATTTCCTATTTTCTATGCAGCTGTGGTATACTTTCCATTAAAATCATTATCTCCTCCCACCCTAACCCCCAACGCCCAAAAATTATATGTCAATTATTAACTAAATGCTGTTAATCCTACCAATTTTCAATCAGGAAAAAAAATCAGCGGACTTGTAAAATGGAATAATTTAATTTTACTTGAAACACGTCATTTGATTGGATAAAAGAATTTATCCATTTTGTATAACATAACTTGCCTACGTCACAATGAGTTACGTCAAAAAACGTACTACTCCGCTTGACGTTACTTTTAAAATTTAATCAATTTGAAGCCTTATTCTGGGGGGGGGGAAAGTTTGTCTCATTGTTTGAAATAAACAAAATAAGAAATTCTAGTTGTTTATTGGTTTACTGATCCAAATTTTCAATAATTTAAGCATGCTCTATTTTTTCTTAATATGTAAAGACTCACCTGGTCCGGAGCTTATATTTCAACTCTTTCAATTAAGAGTAAACTTCTGAGTAAAGCTCTTTTCCTCTGCAGTAAACGGTTTTTTAATGCTTTGTGTACAACATGGATACATGTTTTAATTTACTCTAGCAAACCCCCTTAACATGTCAGTACTACGTGATTAGAGCACAAACATACAAGTATCAAGCACAGCTCAAATAAATGATAATTCTTTATCAAGAAAACAGTCATGGATATTTTCAATTGGGTAATGAAAATGATTATGATGCTTTTGGGGAAGGAATATACACCATAAGAATTTTTAAATCAAACATGAACACAGAAAAAATAGTAGGTCTTGTAGAGATGGAACGTTTGTGATGACAGAGAAGGCCAAGGAAGTATATGGGAGGTTTAACACATTATTTCATATTTTATCAACATTAATCGTGTTGGACATATGCATAGGCTTATATTATATACATCTCAAGATACAAGTGACATGAAACAACTCTAAAGAGTACAAATAGTGAATTTGTAATTTGTTATATAATTTTAAAAGTCATCTGTTACGAGAACTTTGAACTTTGGAGACTTATACACTCGTGGAACTGAATAACTATAATAAATCATTATCATTATTGTTGTCCAATGAGGTATATCCACTGATTTTAAAAATGAACAACAGTCATTAATTCTCTATTCTCTATTATTTGATATATTATATTATGTTTCGAAAGAAATATTCAAATTTAATATACAATATGATAACTTTGCCTTTTCATTCCACTATTAAGTTCATTTCAATTCATTTTGTCTTCGGTATCAGAGGAAAATTTTATCGACTAGGAATAAGGTTGCTGATGATAGCTAGAGGCTCAAGTTATTGTGAAAGATGCTCGATAGCCTGTTTACAGCATGGCATCACTGTGGAGCCTGCTCATCCAGTATCATTCTGAAAAGTTACCAGCTCTGATAAAGTTTGTTTTGATAGCTTTTGGTCTTAGCCCTCTTTTCAAACTGGTGTGAAAGTGAAAAAAAAAAAATCATAATACATAAAATCAGAAACTTTCGATTATCAGCGTATCAGTGGCAAAATATATGTACGAGGATTGTCGCAGAAAAACGCAAATATTTTTAATATATTTTTTTCATCAGGACTATAAAGTTAAAAATTGGTACACATCATGATCAACATCTTTTTAATGATGCTTAAAAATTTCAGTTAAATACCTCTATTTATAAAATTTTCCTCTCAAGTTAGCGAATCTATCAAATCAGTTGTCTGCGCAACACTAATGACGTCAAAACATATCTCGTAGTGTTTGCGAATTCGTTCTGAAAACTATGCCTCTATAAATATTCATTTTTAAGAGCTTGTAATTTTGTTTTAGTTACAAAGTTTTAAATCTCAAATACTAGTATTGTTACTAAAAGGGTGGGGGAGTTAATTCTATCAATAGACAATTTCACATTCCTGATAATAAACCAGCCTGATCGAATTATTTAACTGTGGTCTTCACGTAGACCTATCACTCCCCGCTCTTGTCTTTTCAGTTTGTCTTCATTTATGTGGCCTTTTCTGTTTTAGTGAATAACCGGTCAAGTCAATCTAACACCCCTTCTATTAGAAATACATGTAAACCTGTTTCCCATTGTTATGTTAATGTTTTTGTATCGTTAACATTATCTCTATATACAAGAGATATACTCCGCTCAATATTGCGTTCCTTGATAGTTTGGTGCTCCCTATTACCGCTTAAAGTCACCTTTTTTTGACAATGTCTAATTCAAAGCGCTTTGGTATATATCGTCATATTATTTCTGTCATTAATGATGTCAAATACACGTACACCTAATCATAGAGTATTTATGTAAATAAATATTTTGACTTTGTTTTGCCATATAGCCTGATTACTACAAAAACCTCAATCACAATTTGTAATTTGTTAAAGTCAAAAATATTTTCGTGCGCTGAGCTCCGATATTTAATATCATTTAAAAGCTGTTTTTCATATGCATATGACATCACAGGTCTATAATATTTTGTCGGAATATCTAAAAGATGACTTCTCAACAACATGCCAAAAATTATTGTGTGGCACGATAAAGATCCCTCCCTTCTCAAAGGCCGTAAGTGGCGAGCATAGGCCTAAATTTGCAGCCCTTCACCGGCAATGGTGACGTCTCCATATCAGTGAAATATTCTGGAGAGGGACGTTAAACAGTATACAATCAATCAATCAATCAAAATTGAAATTGGCAAATTAAACTTGATAACTTTCTGGCCATAGACCCATAGACATTCCCGGTTATCTCCGTCACTGATATGGAGAGGACTATGTAAGTTTTTGGAACTTGTGTCCAACTCTTTTAACATATTGTCAATGAAATATGTTCAAAAACACCGATTACTCAATCAGTCATTATTCATATCATTCATAGATATATCGATTCCTTACATTAATCAAAATCATAACGTTTGGTTGGACCTAGCATACCTGTTCTAGCCAATTTTTGCTCAATGTGTCATCATAATATACATCTTTCCAAAATAAATTAAGGAAAATTTGGTAACATATTATTTGAGGTTAAAAGATATAAAATTGCTGGAAATTAGCATATACTGCCAAGATTTAGAACAAAACTAAAATCATTTGTCGTGTGTTATTTTGGAACACATGAATTTTTTAATTGGAATCGTAACCATCAATTTGTTTTGATAAATACATTTTCATAAAAAAAGAAAACTAAATAGACAACAAATCGCCTATTTATAAACAGTTTCATCTGTTTTTATTAATTTTCCAAAATTTAACATGGATTAAGTCAATCTTTTCCCAAAATCGCCGCACATTCACAACTTCTTTAACAGTTGTTCCATTTCAGCATCCACACCACTTTTTAGCAGAGCTAGAGAGAATTCAAAGTTGCACGATTCGACACTTTTTGAATATGAATGAACGAAGTATTTTGGTTTTCTCTCTTTATTTTTCGTTTTGAATTTTGAATTTGCACGATGTATTTAAGGATGTATGTTTGGTATACAAGGGTATCAACGATAGTCGTAAACGTTCTATAATATGCATCACGGGTCTATAAATACGACAGTGGTTCTTTACATTTAGATTTCATTGTGAAATAAAATTGTTAATTGTTGTCTTGTAGATTTTAATTAAGCGAGACATCCCACGTCAATTTGAATACTCCCCGCCCACTGACGTCAGACACAAAGACAGACACACGAAATTGACATGCATATTAAGGCCCCTTTAGCCTAAGCGTTCGCCATAGTCAGTGCACCCATGGTGTGGAAAGCTTATGTGCTTATATAATTTTATGATATTATGTATAATTATACGATATTATGCAACTGATACAATCTGCATTTAATAATTTCGATGAAAACAATGATAATTGTATATTTTAAGCTCTTCATGCATTGCTTAGCTT